TCTCAATTCTTAACTGGGCATTTGGAGTTCCATTGGGTGCAGCTAAGATGGCTCTCAGCAATTTGGTTTGAATGGTTTCTAGTAAGTCTTTCTTTGCAAGGATTCCTGTTTGTACCCCCATATAGAATTTGTGCCAATGTTTTGGCCTCAAAGAGTTTTAAGGCAGCAGGTACAATCTGATCTCCACCTGTATAAAAGAAATGTTTAATTGCATTTGAGGACCTATTGGCTACTTGCAATGTGTGATCCAGATGTGCCTTCCATGTCCCTTACGAGTAGAAAACCACCCCAAATATCTTAATGTTCTAACCTGTTCCAAACTATGTCCTTCTATTTTCCAGGAGTATTGGCTTGGTCTTTTAGCAAAAACTAAATTTTTTGATTTATCAAAGTGAATAAAAAGAAATACCAGTAGAAACCAAACAACCCGTGCCTCATTGGGTCCTTGTTTCAGCAGTATTTCCTTACCTAACAGAGAAACAGAATGAACATGCAAAACACACACACACACACACGCACACTACTGAACACAAGGAGGGCACCAGAGGCCCCTGGGCAGGGACTACTTAATATGGATGGGCTGGCATGAGCCGCTATGGAGCGACGGGAAGCAGGGAGTGCTATGAAGTACAAAATCTTTCTGGGAACTCATAATCTGTAACAGCACTTCTCAAGAGAAAAACAAAAAAACAAAAAAACCCCAGCAGGAGTGATTTACACAAACGATTTGTGACCTTCCTTGCCTGCTTCCCCATTGACTTTCCTTGTGGGAACCTGGCAGGCAGCATTGAAAATGATGGCCATGTGACTACAGCTGACCATGGCAATGGAGCAATGCTGAAGCAGACACAACTTTACCAAATTTGAATCTCATAGAGCAGTGATGGCTAACTTTTTTGTTGTTTTCCAAAAGTGCGTATGTGCGTGTACAACAGTGCCTGGCTGCAGCCATAATGCAATGCACACATGCCCCCCTGCTCCCCAATGCATGCGCACATGACCCCCACCCCCATTTTTGGCATAGGCCTCCCTGCAGCTTCCTGGGAGCAAAAACAACCATGGGGGGGCACGCTCCACCTCCCCTGTGCTCCCTCCATCCCTGCTCATGTGGCCCCCTCTACCCCCCATGCATGTGTGACAGAGACCCAAAAATCAGTTGGCCAGCGGAAGGTGTGCGCGCATGCGCAGTGGAGCTGAGCTGGGACAAAGGTTTGCATGCCTGCAGAGAGGGCTTTGTGTGCCACCTGTGGCACATGTGCCATAGGTTTTCCATCACGGCCGTAGAGGTTATGCTAGATTTTTAACACTTTTTAACGTTAGCCCATTTGAAGTGCGTTGATTCAAAAATGATTGCCATTTCACCAATTGAAGGTTAAAAACAGACGAACAAGAGAGTTTTAGCAGTATATAAATAGGCATAACAGAACAAGTGTATAAGGTGGCAGGTATTGGTTTTCTGAACTTCCTTCCTTCCTTTTCCTCTCTTCCCAGACAAGGAGAAGACTTGAGATCGCCCACAAATGCTACAGACAACTGCTGCACATGAAGAGACAACAAGACAGCTGTCTCTGGTGAGTTTAGAGCAGTGATCCCCAACCCCCGGTCCGCGGACCGG